GCTCTTGGAAGATGCTCATTAGGTTTAATTAAGAAATCAGTCTCCCTAAAATAGAAATAAAGTTGCCTATCACTTAAATTTTAAATCATAAATCATAAATCATAAATCAGTCTCTGGATTGATAAAATTTTCACCCACGTGTTATATACGGGAGCTTTGGACAGTGAACGTGAATGGTACAAGAATCATAGCTTTTAGTGCTGTCGGTCAATTAAATGCTGACCTCTTAAATCTGCTAGGGCAGCCCCTAGTTTGGTCCCAATCATGCTTAGCAATTAAAGTCAAGAGATTCTTTTGTATTTTTACAAGAGTTGGTTTTATTCTTGATCACTTAACTGTTTATATACGCAAAATCTACACTTATTTCCTAAGATTTGGCATAATTACGTTTTTTTTTTGTATAGGGATGGCAAGTGTTAATCTGCCTAAGCGAAATGGCGCCCGTCAAGTCCGAGAATCGAACCCTCCAAAATACGGGGTAAAGATGTGTTATAAACAAGTGCAAAACATTTATCTTTTCAAAATTTAAATTTGATAGAGTTTTCAAATAAATTTCTCACTTAGAGTGAAATATGCTTAAAGTGTCCTACAATGGCTAGGGTCAGGGTGGGCATGTCCCCCTCAAATTTTTTTTATTAGTTAAGTATATATATTATATATTTGTATAATATATTATTTGTACTCACTCAAAATCTAAGATAAAAATATTAGATCCATATTATTTATTCAAAAGAATTAAAAAATTAAACTCATTTAAAATAAAAAAAATTTGAATCCACCACTATCTTCCAAAATTTACTAAAAAATTAAAATTTTGACCTATCACAATCTACTCAAACATATTAAAAAATTAAAACTTTTGGTTCACCATTAAAAAATAATTTTTTTGGCCCACTTGACAAACATCAGTAACACCTATCTTATTAGTTATTTTTTTTTTCTTCTCTGTCTCACTCACTCCCAGTTGCCCAACCAGAAAAAACAGAGTAAAACTCTTTCCTCAATTCCTTGAATTTTTTTGTCGTTCCTTGCACAGTTGATGGATTTAGTAGAGAGCACGACCAGTGCCAGCATATGCCCGGGGGGGCACATGTCCACCTTCAAATTTTTTTCCTTGACATTACCTATATGTATTTCAAGTATTTCTTCAATTTTTAATTTTGCCCACCCTATTTTTTTGGCACATCAATTAGTATACACTTATATCAAATAAGTATGATTTTTTTGACACATTTTGGACATGTTATGTATATAAAGACCAAAGTGATAAAATGATAGTGTATGTAAAAAATAATAAAGTTGTTATGCAACAGTTTCAAAGTACGAAAATTCACTGGAGTCAATTCTAAATGATTTTAATTAGCCTATATTTTGTAAAAAAAAATTTAGTGTCGTTTGTATATACTAAGCTTACCAAATTTTAGTATGTTAGGTTTAATGAACTTTTAAGTATTAAATAGGATGTAATTAAATATAAATTATTGTCCTATTTCTATTGATTGTTAAAAAAAAATTAGTTTGTTGAAATATTTGTGCTCACTCTGACATGACTTTTTGGCTCCGCCCCCGCCTACAATAGACGGGAGTTTTATACAATAGATACGACTGTTTAGAAGTTTAATTTCTTGTAGCATACTACCATCACCCGAACTTGAAATGGCATAAATAGCATGACTCTTTTTAATGTCCAAGATTATTTTTCATAAAAGATGTGAGTTACTAAACTCGTGATTCAGAAAGCCAGAATTACAAGTTGGCGAGGGCCAAAAGGTTGAATTGCAACACATGGGGGAAATACAGCGGGGACAAGGCCCCCAAGACGAAGCATTTGGGTGAGTGTTTGACAAGCCATGATACTCCAGTCCAAACCCAAGGGCGTGGCCAGACTTTTACATGCATTCTCATGATAGCAAGTTGTTATGCTATATAGATTAGTCATGGAAATTCATCAAGATCTTGATTGGACATTGAAAATGCTTAAGGATCTTATCTTAAATAATAATAATAATAATAATAATTAACTTAATCATAAAATTAAGAATATATTGGTCGTGAAAATGCGTGAGTACCATGTGATTACTTCCTTAATATTGAAGTTACTCTGCAATATTATCACTAATCATGCATTGATGATGCACACACTTCAATAAAAGGGTCCCAATTAAATCCCACCAAGATCTAATGTTAGAGAAATTATATCGGAGGTCTTCGCTTCCCCAGTAAATGGAACTCCAATTTCATCCATGAGCATAAGCAGCCGAGGATTTTTCCTCTAGTTCCAGTTCTTAAGTTCTAAAATTGGGGATTCAAAATCTATCTTTTTGAGATTGCTAAGCACCATGTGATTAGGCTTATGGCTGACAACTTTTGGTAGAAAAAATGATTCTCAGTGATCTAAACCTTCAAACTATAAGGACCACTATTTTTTGCTTTTTATCATCTTTTCACTCATCATTTTGACTGTGCTCGGAAAACTTTTGATGAATGATTAATCTTGTTGTTGAGTATATATGTTGTATTGTTGGGTGACTCCTTGAGATTGCCACCTTAATGGGTGTGAAATGACACGACTCCATTTAGATTGTCACTTTAATGGCCAACGTTATAACTCAAAAAAGCGAGATAAGTTATTAAAATCCTGACTTGGAGAAAAAAAAAAGCATTAGCAGCTACTGAGGGTTCCAGAAGATTGGTGGAAAATACAGAGGGGACAAAACCCTCCAAAGAGGAAGCATGTGGGTGAAGGTTTGCAAATCCATAATACTCAAGTCCAAGGCTCGTCACTCTCATTCCCTACCACATTTTAGGAACTTACCCTAGAGTCACAATCTCATGCAACATGATCGACTTAGATAGCTACCTCAACTCATTTATTTTTATCTTTTTAAGGTCAAAGGCTGTCCTGACTCGAAAAACCCAGAATTGCTCTCTACCGGGGGCCAATGCCATAAACTTGGGGAAGACACAGTCATACAGAGGGGACAAAACCCCCAAAGAGGAAGCATTTGGGTGAAGGTTTTGTAAGCCATGACACCCACTCCAAGGGCGTTGGCGCACCCTCACATACCTTCTCATGATAGCAAGTTGTTGACTTATCATTCTCCTCCCATACCACATTTTTTCTTTCCCTTTTTATCATCTATTCACTCATCATTTTGGCTGTGCTTGGAACAAATCTTGAATGAAACCACCTCTTGGAACATAAGTTCTAGCTAAAAAATTATGAAACTTGACAGAGAGATCAAAACATAGCAAAAATAATGAAAATTCATATAACAAATATGAAATAAAAAATATAATTAAATTGAGAAATAATATTAACTTGTATCTCACTGGAAAAATTGATATTGAAAACACATTTTTGTGAGTGCATGAGAAGATATAGAGAATGAAACCCTAATTATGATAAAATATAAAGTGAATTTACTTATTAAAAGGGGAGTATGTAATATGAGGTGAGTTTAGTTACTACTGGAGAGGATATAAAAGAGGTGGGGTTAGTAGTTTGATAATGAAAAATTAAATAGAATAAAAATGGAGAATTGTGAGGTAGAAATAACCCAATCCTTTTTTTTTTGGGTAAAACGTGATAATACAATTTAGACTTGCATATTTCAATGTATAAGCATATTGGTAAATATTTTTTTATTTGTATTCATATTCAAAATTAAATTACAAACATAGAGGAAAAATAAATGAATTTAAATATTGGTTATAGTGGGGGTGAGAGGTGGTGAGCGACAGTAGTGGTGGTAGGAGACGGTGATGGTTGTGGTGAGTGTCAATGATTGTGGTGGCGGTGATCGTGATTGTGTAATGGCGGAAGCGGCGATGGTATAAGTAGTGATGAGACAATTTCAAACACTATTTTTTTTAAAGTATTTATGAAAAATAATTCGTAGAAGTACTTTTAAAAAGTCACTCCAAACATACCTTTAGAGCCTATTTTTCATATTAAATTTATAGTGTTAATATTAGCCGTTAAATTAATTTTAAAATAAAATTTAAAGTGATCTGAACCGCAAAAAGTAAAAATTATTTTGTTTATCTTTTGAAATTTAAATAATAAACTAATTTATTATATAAATATTGACTTTTTAAGTCCTTGGATAAGTGAGTTGGAAAATCAAAATTGAGATAAAAAAGTTAAGAAATTATTTGAACATATAAAACCTTAGCTTCTACCAACAAGCGAAAGTGGGGGTGGGGGTTAGAATTAGGGGTGTAATTTGAATGGGTCAATCCGAATTCAACCCAAACTTAATTTATAAAAAATAAGGTCGGGTTGATATTTTTAATATTTAGGTTAGACTTGAGCTAAAAAATATTAATTCGAATTAAATTCGGACAATATTTGAGTTAAGACATCGGGTTACTGAGTTCAACCAAAATATATAAATTGAATTCAACCCGAACATATTAAAAAATAAATATATAAATCAATAAATTCAATAGCACAACTTATAATTAAGGTTCACATTTCATAATTCACTTTAATGAATTCAATTTAAATTTTAAATTAAAATTAATTTAAATTAAATAATTCGAACCCAACCCAAAATTAACCTGAATTTTACTTTGGCAGTACGCAAATTGAGTACGTCAAATCGTGGTCAAACTAGAGTTTAGATTTCATCTCTCAATCGCCGGAATTGCACGCCTGAGTGGCTATAGTGGTGCAGGTTGTATGTAAAGTGCTTGCTTGTTGTACGGGACCTGCCGTGTCCATTAGAGCAAAGTATTATTTCATTCTTCTTACGGAGAAATTCCTTTCGTGTTGGCTGCGAGTGGAGTGCCAAAGTCCCATTCGACATGACATTTAGTTTTGTTTTTTAGATAAAAAGGTGAACGAGCCATTTTTAAATGGCATTAAGGACTTAATTTGTGGATTACAATTTTTTAAGATATTAATTAATAATTTCAACATTTTCTAAGGTGTAAATTAAATTATCAGGTGGCACTACTTTTACCTTACAAATATTTATTTTTATTTTCTTTAATTTATTATTATTATTATTATTTTTTTATATCTATTCTATTAATTACTAAATTAATCCCGTAACAGTGTTATACACGTCCCTTCCTAGTAATATCCCGAGCTAATGCTGTTTCTGTGGTCATAATAATAATATCTCCTCCAAGTCGCACGCCATTGTTGACTCTCTCCGCTCGTAATTGGAAGGAAAAAAAAAATGGGGTCGCAGACCATTGGTCTGTTGAAGGATGAGCTTCCGGTGGAGCAGGAGACTCTGCTTTTTTCTGGCGACGTTAAGACCGGTCTCGTGCTCGTCGACATCGTTAATGGCTTCTGTACCGTCGGCGCTGGCAATTTGGTATTTTACAAATCTGTTCTGTTATCTATATGCCTCTCTCTGTATCCTTGTTCTCGGTTTCACTATTTATCTTTTGTTTTTGATTACACGCTTCGACTTTTTATCCTTTTTCTTGTAAAAGAAAATTGATTAGAAGAAATTTGTGCTGATTATATGTTTCTTGCATTTTGCTATTTGGTTCCAGTGATGAAAATGTGAATCCTTGTACGCCACCTGAGTTTAGATTAGTGGTGGTGGTTTTGTTCTATGCGGACAAAATTTAGATATTTGGAATTTTTGTTCTGCCCTTTTGTCCTCCATTTGACAAGTAATTTTGTCCTCTGTGTGTACTTGGTATTTTTGAATTTTCTAATAAAGCAAACAAGAAAAACAGAAAATCTGGTAATTCTTTGTAAATGCTGCCGTATTTGATTTTTTTTAAAGCCTAAACAATATAAAGCTTGAGATCAGAATATATTTTACCTATGAAGCTTCTTTTTTGTTCTCGATAGTGTTCTTTCTTTCAGAATTTCTTGTTGCATCTGTCATTCAGAGCAAGATCACTTGAAGTTTTTTTCTTTACCATTATTATTTTGCTTCGATGGCCCTGATGTTGAGAAGTTTCTCTCACTTAATTTTTTGTTTCTTTATTTTCTTGAACCAATCACTAGCATTTGGTTTAAAAGTTTTAATCTCAATAATGTTTGGTATTTTTGAATGCTAATTTCATGTTTATTGGAATTGTTTTCTCTACAGGCTCCAAGAGTGCCCGACGAACAAATTTCTGGAATGGTTGATGAGTCAGTGAAGCTTGCCAGAGTTTTCTGTGATAACAAGTGGCCTATTTTTGCTTTCCTTGATTCTCATCATCCAGATATCCCTGAGCCCCCGTATCCTCCTCACTGTATAGCTGGAACCGATGAATCAAAATTGGTGCCAGGTAATACAGGTGTTTTGTTCGGAATTTCTGTATTAGCACTGAACTTGCTGAATATCTTTTATTGATTGTATCAGTCTTTTTTACTTTTGTTATATCATGTTGGTCTCTTCCAATAATATGCAGATCTTCAATGGTTGGAAAATGAACCAAATGTAACACTTAGGTGCAAGGATTGCATCGATGGTTTTCTTGGTTCACTTGAGAAAGATGGCTCCAATGTCTTTGTGGATTGGGTGAAAACAAACAAAATCAAAGTTGTAAGTATTTTCTCCTCCCCCCAAGCTGACCAACCAAATTCGATTCTTCTATTTAATTACTTCTGGAAAAGAATGGTCACATGTTCAAGTTCTGAACTTCTATTGCATCGCAATCAAAGGCATAAACACTTGTGTGGCCTACCATTTTGTTTTTCCAGGTGTTAGTTGTAGGGATATGCACGGACGTATGCGTGCTAGATTTTGTGTGTTCTGCACTCTCAGCAAGAAATCGTGGTTTTCTCACGCCTCTGGAGGATGTGGTTGTGTATTCCCGAGGATGTGCTACTTTTGATCTTCCAGTTGACGTTGCCAGAGGCATCAAAGGTGCTTTAGCTCATCCACAGGTAAATTGATCTTACTGGAGCTTCAGCAATTGTACTTTATGTGGAAATTTTATCTTTTGTTGATCCTATGGCATACATCTGCACCCTTACTAGCTTTATGCATAACTATCATAATCAAACAGATGTCAAATGCATTGATTACAGCATGACATAAGAGAGGTGTCATGGTATATGTAGCTGCTTGATGATAACGCTTGGTTTCATTCAGTGAGACTTTTGTTCTTTTTGGACTGGATTCAATCGGACTAGAGTATGGTTACAATTTAGTTAGAACTGTGAAGAAATGCTTCAGGATTGGCAAGTAAGCAGATGGTTGGGATGAAAACTCTTCTAATTTATGAGGTGTAGATCCATGCCTTAGGCAGCACTACTTGTCCACACTCCATCAACTTTTTTTAACTTTTTCACATCCTATTTCATCCTCAATAACTGACATGGTCTTTTTTTTTTTTTTTGTTGGGTGAATTTGGTATTCTTATCTGTTTTATTACACAGCTGCCTTTTTTTTTTTTTTTTAAGGTGAATTTGTAGGCATCCTCATCATTAGTTAGAAGCTGCCCACTTGTGGGTTTCTTGTCCTCACAACGCAATTCTTGGACACAAAAGCTCCCTACCCAAGTATAAACAAAGAAGCAAATACTAATACTAGAAGCAAAGACGATAATCAATTTGGTTGACTTCGTTTTTAAATTGCATCAAAGAGCTTATTCTTTATCTACAAGCTTATGCACAGTGAAGAGAGTAGCAGTTTAAGTGGGATCAAAATTCAAAAGTGAACCTGTGCAGTAGACAAACATTCTCCGGAAAAGATTTTGGAATTGTTTCTAGCATTGATGACTGGAACTCAAATCCGTAGGGGTCAAGCAAGTGATTCCATCTCACAAAACCCTGCCCAGCGGAAACAATTCATTATTATCTTGTTTAGAAACTTCTGTTTAGAAGGATACAAAATTTGGAAAGATGTGGACTCATCAAATGATTTAGTGCAACTGATTAATAAAGTTTCAGCAATGCTTTCCTTTGAGCAAAAGGAATGTAAACTTGATTTCCTGCAACTACCCATTGATATTAAAAGTTTGGATAAACTGTTTAGGAAGTCAGAGTCCTGCAACATAGTATGTTTGAATGATGGGATTCTCGATTAATTCACAATTATCTATCTAACATAAATTAAATATCTTATGCAGCATACACGAGTTACCATGAGAGAGGCCTGATCCTTTTACCTCTTCCCCATGTCTTTTTCTTTTGAACTCTCCCCGTCATTTCATGTGAACTTCGCTAGTGACGTGTTAATTTCAGATGCCACAAATCTATTAAACAACTATATGCCAAACAGTGTCTTGTTTTGCTCTTCTAAAATTAGGCAATCCCTTTTTTCTGTTTCTCAACAAATTTAATCGTTAGTCAGCATTCTTCGGTGTTCTGCCACAGGATCTAATGCATCATATAGGCCTTTACATGGCCAAAGGAAGGGGAGCCAAGGTGGTGTCAGAAGTGTTCTTCGGTACACCAAAAGAGCCATGAAGATATATATATATATATATAATAAAATGTCGCAAATGTTGGGCCGTATTTGCATATATGCTTTTAGGTTGGTTTGTCTATCTTGTCTATGTGGGAATGTGAAAGTAGTAATTCTATCACTCTGCTATGATGTTTGTGGTGGCATGCCATAGTTGTGGCTAGCTGGTGAATCTTGTAAGATTTCAAAGTTAAATATACTAGGCAGAAAATAAGTACAAAGGTGTGTTTTGAAAATACGTACAAATGTGTGTTTTGTTTGTGAAAATTTCCTTGTTAAAAGGAAAAGTCATTTATGCTTCAATGCTGTTTATGTCGCATAAGGCATGTCAATAGAGGTTGTGTTCGTGTGTGTGGTGTTGGTAGGCTTAGTAATGGTCTTGGACAAATACCTACATAAATTCTATCTTGGTAGGCATATGTTTTCAATTTATCTTAACTCGTTTAATTAATTTGCATGATGGATACCAAACATTTTATGGTCCATTTAAGTAAGTACATCAACTAACCATCTAATTTAAGGTTATGTTGATGGTGCCGGCCCATGCACTAGGCCATGCCATTAATGCCATTGCCTTGGGGCCCTCAAATGGGACAATTTAATTTTGGAGTCCCAAATTAAATTTTTATACAATTTTATTAGACTTAATTTTTGGGTTTAATTTAGAGAACTTAATGCATTTTTATCATTAACTTAGTAAGAAAAAAAAAACCATTGAATAAGTTTACTAAAAATTAAATAACCATAATTTATTAAGTGTCAAAATTAGGTCCCTAGATTAAATACAAGTAATAATATTGTAAAATTTTTAAAATTTCTTACAAAAACATTTAGGGCCTTAAAGTTTGAGCTCACGTGCTTTATGATTTTTATCTTTGTCCAATGGTTATGGTGTATGAAAAATATGTGTTATCACTTAATAAAATATTTTTCTATCTCATTATCAAAAAAAAAAAAATTGTATAATTCATTGTCTATCAACTAATAGTTATAAATTATAACTTTATATTTTTTTAGATTAAATTTGAGGTTACTTTAAATTTAGGATAGATTTTTTGCTTAATTATTTTTTTAAAGCGTATAAAAATAACTATAGAATAAAGTGAGTAGAAGTATTTCACTATCTGAAACTAATTATAACCATACTTGTCTTTCTAAAATTTCTTAGTTAAAACATTTCGATGGTTCTCTGCAATATTGAACATGTTTCACATATTCTAATACCATTTAACTTACACAAATTTTAACTTTTACATTTGTTCTAAAAAAAATCATTTTATCGGTTAGTTTAAATTTTCATTCTCTTTCTCATTATCTGTAATAGAAAACTAACTTAATTATATTTGGTCAATGATTCAACTTTTGCTAATTGAATTTTAATGTATAAAACTTGAATTTAAAAATTCAATTAATATTTTTGAATCTCAAAAAAATAAAACAAAAAATATTAAATAATTTAATTTTTGACAATTATTTATATTATTGTATATAGCGCGTAATTTAAAATTTTGAAAAATTTGGAGGCCGGTTCCCTTATATGGACTTGTTTGGACTTAAGTCCGTCAAAGAAACTTATTTGTTATGAAATTGTTTTTTGTCAATTTTACCATACTATCCCTTCCCTTTAGAAGAAAAATAAAACTAAAAATTAAAAACTCTTAAGATTTAGGAATTTGACTAACATTAAAATCTTTTCTCTCTCATATCTATTTATATTCATATATAGATTAAGAGTTTGACTAACATTGAAATTTTTTCTCTATCTTATATATATATAGTAACATTAAAAATAAAAAATGGTAACATTCAAATACAAAAAAAGTTATCATTTGGACACAAAAAATAATACATTTAAAACACAAAAAAAATAGTAACATTTAAACATAAAAAATTGAAACATTCAATATTAATATTTTTAAAAAATAACAACAGTAACATGTTCAACAAAAATATTAATATGTTCAATAAAAATAGTAACATGCCTAACAAAAACTGTAACATACTTAACAATAGTTATTTCTCTCAAATTCAAAAGCAAAAAATAGTATCATTCAAATACAAAAAATAATAATATTTAAAAAAATAGTAACATTGAATATTAATATTTAAGAACAGTAATATGTTCAAAAATAATAGTACATAAACAATAACATACTCAACAAAAGCAGTAACATAGAACAGTAATATAATAAAAAAATAATAACATACTATTCAAATTCATAGTAACTTTTTTTTTTGTATTTGAATGTTAAATTTTTTTTAATGTTACTATATATATATATATATATATATATATATATATATATATATATATATATATATATATATATATATATGAGAGAAAAATTTTAATGTTAGTCAAATTTTTAAGGATATGGATATAGATAGATATGAAAAAAATGTTAACTTCATTTCAAGATATATTTTTAAAAAAAAATGGACTTAACTCCTTATAAATTTTCTTGCAGAGACTTATATTCAAACAAGTACATTTAGGAGAACTCACTTCCAATTTTCACTAAAATTTTTGCCTAAAGCCCCTAAATATATGTTGGGCCGCCCATGGTTGATGGAGTACATTTTATGGTACACGATAATGCTTTTAAGTTAGATTGGAATGCGGTTTTCTTTTTTGGTGCAATGGATGCTATACTGGGTGAAGAAAAAGTGAAGAGTGATTGCTACGAAGGACAAGATCTGGGTTGCTACTTGTTTTCTTTTGGCTGAGGTGTCCTCAGCTTTGTTTTGAAGTGGAGATAGGCAAGATCCACTTTGCAGCTCTTTTTCTTTGTTTCAATACTGACATGCACCATCTCTAATACACTTATTCGAGTTTTTTTTTTTTTTCTTGGCTGGATTTTCAGTCGTGTATGAATGTTGGACCCCACATATATACAGCGAGTTTGTTTAACTTATAGTACTGTGGAAAGATATTGTAAATGTATTAGAGGAAAATCAAATCAATCCAGGCCCCATTGACAGGAGCTACACCAATTTGGCCACACATCTATGTGCATTACGCAGCTTGGGTTTCTTCCTAGTTCCATTAGTTTAGTTGTCCCACTTTTATATTTTATTTTCTCCTATTTGTACATGGTACCATGTATGCACGACCCCCCAGTGTAATAACCAATACAAAAAAAAGAAAATTATTTTATTTTGGTACATTGACTACCTAGGAGTAATTATTTATATAAGGGTAAAAATAATTAAAAAAGATTAATGTGTCTCTAATAAAAGTCTTAACCTAGAGATATCTTAGACTATTTTGTATGTGCTTTAAATATGGTTGTATGGTTGGATAAGTCAAACTCTTCGTGTGTGTGTGTGTGTGTATATATATATATATTTAGGTATGATAGAGTGTTTTGGTGAGACGGCTTGTGGAGGCGCCTATCCAGTGAACAAAAATTTAGCCGCAAAGAGAGAGAGAGAGAAAAAAAAGGAAGAAGAAGAAAAAAGAAAAGGGTTGAATCAATTAAAGGTATGCATTTATTACTTTTCTTATGAGTTTTATATTTTCATTCAATATATATATATATATATATATATATATAGTCTTATGGTACATTGAAGTTATTAGGTTGAAAAGTTTAGGGTTTTTGGGAATTGATGGAGTTTAAGCAATGTGTTGCAAAACATAAAAAAAAAAAAAAAAAAAAAAGGAAAAAAGGAAAACAAATAAGAAAGAAGGAAGTTGCAAATGCTGCAACTTCGTATGTTGGAAGAGGGAGAAATCTAAGAATTATAGAAACTTCTCCTATTGATTATAATTGATATATTTTGACCTCCATAGTTTTATAAATTTAATTTTTACCACTGTTTAAGTTGGTAATTTATAGGATTGACCCCAATAGTTTTGAAACAAACTTTATCAGCCCTCGAGTCTTGGAAAGTTTTTGAAACTCTAAAACGACCTTAAAAAGTTTAAATTTTGTTCTCAAAATTATGATTTATTCATAATAGCTCAAAGTAAGGTTATATTATCAAAAATTGGTCTCTATAGCTTTAAATACTATTCTTGGGAATTTTATATTCTTGAAAACAAAAAATTCAGTTTTGAAAAATTACACTTTGACCCAAAAGTTTCAAAAATAATGATTTGACCCCAAACTTTAGAAACTTTTTCTAAACAACCTAAATTACTTCCATACCCTATTATCTCACATTAAAAATGTTATTTCTATGTAAAGGATATATAAAGTAATTACCAATGGGTAAGAAGTATGAAAATTAAATATAGAATCTTGAAATTACAAAATTAGGAATATGGATTGATTGTTACATGTTATTTTGACTTAGGTGGTGATTTCATTGAGATTGGGAAAGAGGGTTTTGAATTGAATTTCGGGAATTAAGGAGTAGTTTACTACTTCTTTTGGGAGAATTTTTTATATTAAAAAGGTGGATGCGTGTGTGTGGATATTTCATATATATGATATATCTATATAAAAAAACACATAGCAATTTGAATTTTTATCTCATATATATTTTTCCTCTTAAAAAATTACATCACTTATTTCTATTACATGTTTAATCATTTAATATTTAATTAATTTATAGTTTAACATAATTTTTATTTCAAACATTATCCATATACGATAGTATCCACATGTTAAAACAATTTAATATAGAAGGATCGACTTTTGGGTACTTGAATTTTATATTTCATTGTGCCTTCAGGCACGAGTTATGACCAATGTGTTGATATTTGAGGTTGTAATTCAAAGTTTTACAATTGTGAATTGTAGTACATGTGAATTTTGAAAACTTGTGGGATGATTTTATATCATTGTTTAAATGTGTCTTAGTGATGAAAGAGAAATTTTGTGTGCGTTGGGAGTAAAATGACAATTTTTGTGTGTGTTGAAATTATGTTTTATGAGACGGAGACCGGATTACCAGGTCTAAATGGTAACGACATTGAAAGTATACCAGTGTGATCGGTATAGGGATGTGCACATAAGGGTCAATTATTAGGCTAGTGATGATAAGAGACGGGACCAGCTACCAAGCTAGTAGTGACAAAAGACGAGACTAGTTATTAGGTTAGTGGTAACAAACATGAGATGACAAATATATTTGGGATTGAATGTGTGTGTGAGTGTTTTGAGTTATAAATGTCTTTTTATTTATAATGTTATTTGTGAAAATGAGTGGGTGTTTGAATTATAAATGTTTTTTTATTTATAAAGTTACTTGTAGACATGAGATTATTTTGTTTAAATGATTATATGAGAGAGGTTGAGTTATAATTTTGTTGTACTTATGTATGTATCAAAATTTATTTTCGTATATAAACTGTGAGACTTATTTTCACACCTCATTAGAAGTGATTGATATTCACAGGTCGTTGTACTCATACAAACATTTAACATTTTCAAGTGAGCATTAGAGTCAGAAGTAAGTTCACAAACATACAAGAGGTTAGAGGATTTGAAGATTTATTTTATTGTAAGTCTTTAAAAATAAATATTTTTTATAGTTTTGAGACAAATATTTAATTATTTTGGAAACAATGTTCTTTATATTTGGGGTAGTCAACCTTAAGGTTCGATTATTATTTTACATGAGTTTAGTAATAATTTTGGTAATGTTTAGTTTAATCCTCTGGTGTTCATTTGGTCAGTGAAATTGATTACTTTATTATTTATCTTCTACTGTATTTTACATTTGTTATATACACGATTGGTTAGTTAAGCCATTGATGACTGATCCGCTGCCCACCCTACGTGATCCGAGATACGGGTGTGACATTTAGTTTATATAAAAGAAAACGAGGCAAGACAAAAATCATGATTCTAGCTCTTGGAAGATGCGCATTAGGTTTAATTAAGAAATCAGTCTCTCTAAAAATAGAAATAAAGTTGCCTATCAGTTAAATTTTAAATCATAAATCATAAATCATAAATCAGTCTCTGGATTGATAAAATTTTCACCCACGTGTTATATACGGGAGCTTTGGACAGTGAACGTGAATGGTACAAGAATCATAGCTTTTAGTGCTGTCGGTCAATTAAATGCTGACCTCTTAAATCTGCTAGGGCAGCCCCTAGTTTGGTCCCAATCATGCTTAGCAATTAAAGTCAAGATATTCTTTTGTATTTTTGCAAGAGGTGGTTTTATTCTTGATCACTTAACTGTTTATATACGCAAAATCTACAATTATTTCCTAAGATTTGGCATAAGTACGTTTTTTTTTTGTATAGGGATGGCAAGTGTTAATCTGCCTAAGCGAAATGGCGCCGGTCAAGTCCGAGAATCGAACCCTCCAAAATACGGGGTAAAGATGTGTTATAAACAAGTGCAAAACATTTATCTTTTCAAAATTTTAATTAGTGAAATATGCTTAAAGTGCCCTACAATCAAGGGCAGAGGGAGGCTAGCGCCAGGGTGGGCACGTGCCCCCTCAATTTTTTTTTTATTAATTAAATATATATATTATATATTTGTATAATATATTATTTGTACTCACCCAAAAACTAAAATAAAAATATTAGACCCATATTATTTACTCAAAAGAATTAAAAAATTAAACTCATTTAAAATAAAAAAAATTGAACCCACCACTATCTACCAAAATTTACTAAAAAATCAAAATTTTGACTTATCACAATCTATTCAAACCTATTAAAAAATTAAAACTTTTGGTTCACCATTAAAAAATAAATTTTTTGGCCCACTTGACAGACATCAGTAACACCTATTTTATTAGTTATTTTTTTTCTTCTCTGTCTCACTTACTCCCAATTGCCCAACCAAAAGAAACAGAGTAAAACTCATTCCTCAATTTTTTGAGTTTTTTTGTCGGTCCTTGCACAGTTGATGGATTTAGTAGAGAGCACGGTCAGTACCAGCATATGCCCGGGGGGAGGGGCACTTGTCCACCTTCAAAATTTTTTTTCTTAACATTACATATATGTATTTCAAGTATTTCTTCAATATTTTTAATTATGCCTACTCTATTTTTTTGGCACATCAATTAGTGTACACTTATATCAAATAAATATGAATTTTTTTGACATATTTTGGACATGTTATGTAAATAAAAACCAAAGTGATAAAATGATGGTGTATGTAAAAAATAATAAAGTTGTTATGTAACAGTTTCAAAGTACGAAAATTCACTGGAGTCAATTTTAAATGATTTTAATTAGTCTATATTTTGTAAAAAAAATTTTGATGTCGTTTGCATATACTAAGCTTACCAAATTTTGGTATGTTGAGTTTAATGAACTTTTAAGTATTAAATAGGATGTAATTAAATATAAATTATTGTCCTATTTCTATTGATTGTTAAAAAAAAATTAGTTTGTTGAAATATTTGTGCTCACTCTGACATGACTTTCTGGCTTCGCCCCTGCCTACAATAGACGGGAGTTTTATACAATAGATACGACTGTTTAGAAGTTTAATTTCTTGTAGCATACTACCATCACCCGAACTTGAAATGACATAAATAGCATGACTCTTTTTAATGTCCAAGATTATTTTTCATAAAAGATGTGAGTTACTAAACTCGTGATTCAGAAAGCCAGAATTACAAGTTGGCGAGGGCCAAAAGGTTGAATTGCAACACATGGGGGAAATACAGCGGGGACAAGGCCCCCAAGACGAAGCATTTGGGTGAGTGTTTGACAAGCCATGATACTCCAGTCCAAACCCAAGGGCGTGGCCAGACTTTTACATGCATTCTCATGATAGCAAGTTGTTATGCTATATAGATTAGTCATGGAAATTCATCAAGATCTTGATTGGACATTGAAAATGCTTAAGGATCTTATCTTAAATAATAATAATAATAATAATAATTAACTTAATCATAAAATTAAGAATATATTGGTCGTGAAAATGCGTGAGTACCATGTGATTACTTCCTTAATATTGAAGTTACTCTGCAATATTATCACTAATCATGCATTGATGATGCACACACTTCAATAAAAGGGTCCCAATTAAATCCCACCAAGATCTAATGTTAGAGAAATTATATCGGAGGTCTTCGCTTCCCCAGTAAATGGAACTCCAATTTCGTCCATGAGCATAAGCAGCCAAGGATTTTTCCTCTAGTTCCAGTTCTTAAGTTCTAAAATTGGGGATTCAAAATCTATCTTTTGGAGATTGCTAAGCACCATGTGATTAGGCTTATGGCTGACAACTTTTGGTAGAAAAAATGATTCTCAGTGATCTAAACCTTCAAACTATAAGGACCACTATTTTTTGCTTTTTATCATCTTTTCACTCATCATTTTGACTGTGCTCGGAAAACTTTTGATGAATGATTAATCTTGTTGTTGAGTATATATGTTGTATTGTTGGGTGACTCCTTGAGATTGCCACCTTAATGGGTGTGAAATGACACGACTCCATTTAGATTGTCACTTTAATGGCCAACGTTATAACTCAAAAAAGCGAGATAAGTTATTAAAATCCTGACTTGGAGAAAAAAAAAAGCATTAGCAGCTACTGAGGGTTCCAGAAGATTGGTGGAAAATACAGAGGGGACAAAACCCTCCAAAGAGGAAGCATGTGGGTGAAGGTTTGCAAATCCATAATACTCAAGTCCAAGGCTCGTCACTCTCATTCCCTACCACATTTTAGGAACTTACCCTAGAGTCACAATCTCATGCAACATGATCGACTTAGATAGCTACCTCAACTCATTTATTTTTATCTTTTTAAGGTCAAAGGCTGTCCTGACTCGAAAAACCCAGAATTGCTCTCTACCGGGGGCCAATGCCATAAACTTGGGGAAGACACAGTCATACAGAGGGGACAAAACCCCCAAAGAGGAAGCATTTGGGTGAAGGTTTTGTAAGCCATGACACCCACTCCAAGGGCGTTGGCGCACCCTCACATACCTTCTCATGATAGCCAGTTGTTGACTTATCATTCTCCTCCCATACCACATTTTTTCTTTCCCTTTTTATCATCTATTCACTCATCATTTTGGCTGTGCTTGGAACAAATCTTGAATGAGTAATCTTGTTACTGACAAGCGATGTGTCGCAGTTTCAAGTTTGGAAATTAGCCTCTCCAAAATTGGTCCAGACTCGACTATATATGGAGCTTATCCACAGCATATGAACTTCTTAGAATTTTAGTTTCCTGAAGGATTCTGCTGGGCAAAGAAAGAGCAATGCTTGAAGAAGTCCATAATGAGAATGAATCAATGCAACTCGCTACAAGACTAATGTTGCTTTGATAATTACAACCTAAAATCATTTATAATTCTGTGAAACTAAAAGAAAACAAAATTCCACACCACACATCTTTCCTCATTCAGAAACTAATAGAAAACACAAAAACTTGTCACTCTGGCCAGGTATCATCTATAAGAACCCCAAAAAGAAAAGATAAAAATAAATGAAGAAAACAAGAAGAGCCAAAAAAAAAATATCTACATGGGAATGCCAGATCTCAGAACCTGAAATTTTTTATTAGGGTGCATAGAGGAGAAAAGTGAATGCTTCTGCTTCCTTGGTTTATTTCCGAAGATAAATGACCTTAAAGGAACTCGAGACCGACTAGTTGAGTGGCTCAACTGTGGCTGATTTTGATTCTTTGCTTCTGAAAGCCCAAACTCATGATCCAACTTTGCTAGAGTCTTCTCAATTTCCTGTTGGAGTGCAGTTACATGATCATAACCTGCTTGCAATTCCACTCTAACCTTGTTGTTCTCCTGTTTCATGTTCAGAACTTCACCTTGGAACTTTGCAGCTTGATGACTTGTGAACTTGATTTCTTCTTCTTCCATGCCCTCCTTCAAAGCCATTGTTATCTCTTCTTGAATGTTGCATAGAGAGGAGGATCTGCGTTGTAATTCTCCCTTCAGCAATTCACTTTGTTCTAACCACAGTGTCAGTTCTGTCTGTATCTCCCTCAGGTGCTTATATATCGGTCGGAGATCCGATTTTAAGTCTGTTTCAATGCTTCCCTCTTGCTTCTTTTTTTCTTTGAGTTGCTTTATCTCATCCTGTAAATCTTGGACCTCAGTTTTGAATTTCTGTATCTGATGAAATGCTGTGCTAAATCTTAACCAGAATTCTAAATTTTCGTCTAGTATTGCATCGATGTTCATCCTGAGCTTTTCTTCAATCACTGAGATGCATTGAGGTTGATCGGTCAAAATCAACATGATGTGCTCCTCCTCTTCCTTTGTCAGCTGAGTATCTTCATTATTAGATGGATCCTCAATTCTGGCTTCAGGTTTAGCACTTCGATCGTCTATCGAATCTGAGGTTGATGGCGGATGGTCTCCATTTGAATATTTATCTTCAGATACACTTGCTTGTTCTAGATTCAGCTTCCAACGTAATGATTGAATCTCTTCATCCCTCTTGGCAATAGCACTCTTCATTTCCCTTAGTTGCACTGTCATTTCAAAGAGGTTGTCCCTATTTCTTTTCTCAACTTCACTCAGCTGCTTCTTGGCATCTTTATAGCTCCTCAGAATGCCAGTGTATTCTGTCAATAGAACCTTTTCTCTATCCTCTAACCCAGTCAAGAGCATCTGCTGCCAGTTTACCCCATCTTCTTTTTCTGTCTCTTCTTTTTGTGGCTTGGTGTTGAGAGGACTATCTGCTGGTTGGGATGAAACTTGCTTGTCAACTTTGTCCTGTGGCTTTGAGTTTTGACATTTGTCAGATCCATCATCGGCTTTTTTATCTTCTCTTGACTGATTCTTAACCAATGTACAGATATCAGGTTGTTTGCTGTCCTCCCCCTCATCTGTTGTCAAAGTACTGGAGTTTCCAAAACCATCACATGGACTCGGTGTATCTTTTAGTTCTTCCAACTCTTCTTTTGGCTTGATTTCAACAAGAGACACCTTTTCTTCTTGTAATGACCCTCTAATCTCAAGGTCTTCATCTGGCTTCACAGTTTGCAATTTCTCAGACAGGTGACCAAGACTACAACGAGCTTCAGTAAAAGTTTCTTTGAGGTGGTGATTTTGGTTTTCAACATTCTGGTTTAGATTCTGAATGCCATGCAATTTGTCCTCCATTTCCTTCAGCCTGTTGCTAAATGTATCATCAATCAGACTTGCCTTATCATCTTCCAAGCTCTGAATTTGTGAGTGAAGATCATGGGCTTCCGTTCTTAATTTGTTTATAAGAGCAGTCTGAGATGAAACTGCAGTTTCAAGGCTAATCACCTTGTTCACAAGCTCGTCAATCTTTTCTGCCATTTCTGACACCGTCAGAGGTCCCTGAGAGATCGCCTCGAAGTGTTCCTTAATTTTCTCTTGTACCACTGCCATTTCTTGTCTCTCTTCTTTCGTGCCAGTCACTTCTGGGATAGAGCTTTGTGTCTTCTCTCCTGATTTGACTGTATCATATCGGTCATCTGGCTTCTCCTCATCAGTTCGATCATGGAGAAACTCATGCTTGAGAGACTTTAGTCTCTCACGAGCATTTTCAATCCTTTTGTGTTCTGCTCTTGCTTCCTCAGAAGATCTATCTTGCTCCTCCTGCAACTGAGCCAATGTCTCTTGGCACGATTTCAGAGCTGCTTCTGCCATCAAGGTCCTCGCATCATTATCTTCAATGACCTTACCCACACCAAATTCATCCTGCAAGCTGCAAACTTTTTGCTGCATTTGCATGATCCGACTGTCAATACCCCAGTACTTTGCAAGCCTGCTTTCGTAAGAGCTCTTCACGAACTCCTTCACAGTTTGCAAGGCCAAAATCTCTTTCTGAAGCTTGTCAATCTCTTCAAGAGCCTCGCTTTTGCTTAAACCAGATTTAGCAACAGTATTATTGATCTTGGCTGTTTTTGGTGGCTTCCTTGCTTGCAGTTTCTTTGTGGCTGTTCTTACGAGACCCTTAAAATCTGTACTCGGAGCCTTTGGGACATTTGGTGCTGAGACTTGTGAAGAACTCTTTGGAACTTTAGGAGAACCATATTCATCTTCATCATCTATTTCATACTGGACTTCTTCAGGGAAAACAGAGGCAATGGTATTGTTGGCATTTTGTAACTCTGTTGATAAGTGATCATACCGTTCAGCCAAGGCTCGGAAAGCACGATATGAATCTTCAACGAAGTTTATCAGTTCTGGCCTCTTTTTGTAGTACATTTCTGCCCTCTTGGCAAATGAGTCTCCATCTTCTTCAATGAGCTTAAGCATATACTGCACCTTCTCTTCCATATCTGCAAGGTCGTAAAATTCTAGTTAGAGTGATCTAGGTGTCTAATACATTGGATGGTAGTGAATGTCAAGCCAGTCGATCACAAGCCAGTTAATACATAAATTGCATTCCCACGAGTCTTTGTCTTACAGGCTATATACAATTTGACACCAACTTGTCCATTTAATAGTTCTGGTTGAAAAGGAAACATTTCATCAAAGAAAAGGCAAATACTATCTGGACAGGGTGAAATTGGAAAAAAATTCTGATATGCCTTGGAAGCGGAAGAAATGTCAAAATTATTGCAATTTGGTCAGATTAAAATTTATCTTAGGCTCATGATCAGAGCAACAATGCAGATGCAGAACACAATATGATCAAATTCTGAGCCTGTAAACAATCCTACACAAAAGAATCCCTCTTCCCCTGGGGAATGGGGGTGCTTGAAAATGTAATTGACCCACAAAAATATAATCTTACAAATCTAGACCCACGGATTTGGTTGTTGCATCGATGAATAATGGCACATATAAAGAGAAATCATAGCCAAAAGCGCACAAATTTTGAAGAATTCTGGAGTGATTCGGGTTTTTGACACAAATTCAGTCTAAAATGGAAATTGCCTTCAATTCAAAACGAGACTGAGGAATATTCCGATCGTTCATCAACCATCCTCATCCTATTCCTCAATGGAACGCCAATGAGTTGTGACTTTTAACAACCTTATACAGCGATCAGTAATCAACAATCTAATCGTAGCTTGAAGTTAGAAGGGGAAAAATAGGAAAACATAAGATAAAAACAAAGACCCATTTGATCTGTTAAGCAACCCATTTGATTAAACACGTATTGTTATCAATCAAATAGGATGGCACCACAAAAACCCATTTGATCTGCTAAGCAACCCATTTGACTAAGCAAGAATTGTTATCAATCAAATAGGATGGGATTCTAGATATATAAGCATAACTCAGTTATGATGAATTCTAAGTTAATATTCAAAACAAAGAAGCAAAATTCTGATACATAATGTCATTAGAATCAAAATGGTCCAAACCCAATTGGGTGTTACAATAAAAGCATACCTTGAAGGCTCTGTTCGAGCCATTTTGATTGCTTTGTCCTGATATGGCTTGCCCACCACCATGAGTAAGCATTTGATGCAGCTCTTTGTAACATCCCTCCAACTTGATCCTCTTAAGTCTCTAAACAGCAAATAGGAAACTCTTTCTCCCAATAACCAGTAAGATTGAGAGAGAGAGAGAGAGAGAGAGAAGATAGTTTCAAAGAACAAAAATGCAACCAAAAAGAATGAATGTGAATGGCAACACCAACCAAAATAGTGGTTTGATGGTTGGGAGGTATTTTCTTCCCCTAAATACGTGTTGGACCCTTCACAGTGTTAAGCAAGTCAGCCAATCAGCTATGACTACGTGAACGTGGCATCCACTGGGTTTGTCAGCTTGGCATTCCCACAAAGCTTAGGTACCTACTTTTTAGCTTTATACCCTTCTTTAACCGACTTCTGAACATGTATGGTTGCTTTATACCCTTCGTCAACCGAAAGTGGGCATACATATATGGAAATGAACATATGGGTGTTTAATGTTCGTAAGTAATCACTCATTGACTTCTATCTTACAGTTTTCTGGATATAGAACCTTTTTTTTTTTTTGGGTTTTTTGGGGCTGATGGTTGGTGTTATCCCTGTTAAGTCAGTTCATAGGTCGAAAGTCCCCTTTTGATATCATCTATAAGACTCGCTCACGTACAATGAATAGTGTTCTTATTTGTTGAGTTATTATTTATAATTCGTATCTAAAGGTACGGTAAAATATAAAATTTTAACGTCTAAAAAATCGAATATTCTATATTAAATAACAATATTTATTTCATTAATTTATTTGATTATATCATTTAAAATTTATTTTTATACATTATTTTCTTAAAAATATCGACAATTTTCTCAAAATACGTAATTCGACAAATTTTTTTCAATATGTATACACTATTGGATATAAATAATGTCAATTACAAATTAATTAGATATTAAATGATTGAACATGTGATAAAAATGAGTGATATAATATTTTTTGAGGGGAAAAATATGAATGAGATAAACTTTCAAACTCCTAAATGTTTTATTATATAGATGTCATCGTATTCTATAATATAATGAACATCTATTACTATTATAAAAAATTGTTGAGAGAGGTTTAATGTCTACATATAAATTACTTCTTACACGTTTTATTGAAGAAAGCCAGCCTTACTCAATTAGTACCAACCTCTAAAAATCGCTTGTTTTCACACATTGTTCTAGCTTACCAAATACCCTCATAATTACCCAAAATTCTTTATCAACTGCACTCAACTGCCTACATAATTTCTCTCTTTATTTCTTCTCACTATCATATCTCTTTTTCACCCTCTTGATCATGTATGTGGTGACCCTATATTTAGAGGAAAGGATTAAGGAAATATTTATCACCGTATTGTATGTTGTTGCAACTGTCCTACAAAAAAAATGTTTTTTTTTTATCAACGCAAACAAAGAAATTGTATTATTAAGAGGAAAATTAATGTTACAATTAGTCAAAAGTAAAGCCGAAAGCTCCCGGGGGGGAGCCTAACCAATTCAACGAGAGTGAATTGTTTAACATTGTGGCTACGACCCAGTGAGCTGTCTTAATGAAGGCTCTAGACTTGTATAAGAAACTAAAGTTGTATAACCTACCTAAGTGTCTAATATCTTCAATAATTACACTAATTTTCCATGGGGGAGCGTCTTCATTTGAGCTGAGTTTGATGGTAGTCCTTCATGATAGTAACTTTAGAGATCAGATGGGCTTCCGCCAGAAGGCAGGCTTGCCTCACTGCCTCAGCTTCAGAGAAAAGACTTGAAACAGTAGGAAGAGATTTTGCACAGCCATACATGAGTTCCCCATTATCCTTGCAGACCACAACTCCACAAGCAGCTTTGGAAGAGGCAGACTTAAAGGCACCATCACAAAAAAATTGAAAATCAGAGGCCAGTGCTGATTGCCCCTCATAACCCTCAGCTGGAGAGCTCCTTTGTTCCTCAGATGCTCCAACCTCATTGATTCTAAGCTGATCACTCCACATAGCTTTGGCACGAATGACAGTAGCATAAGCATTAACCTTCTTCATATTAAAGATGCACTGGTTTCTTGCTTTCCATATTTTCCAACCTATAGTAGCCATTTTTTCCAACAATTCGAGTCTATACTGAGCTCCCTGTACTGACTGAATGAGTATGGATGATCTTTGAGCCACAGACAAGAAAGATGAAACATCCCCTTGAAACATAAGATCCACCCCAAACCATACACATTTAATCCATTCACATTCAAACAACATATGCTCAATGGATTTTCAGAGCTAGCATGCAGATCTGGCACAAAGAAGATGGGGCACACTTTCTCTTGAGCAAATTTTCCCTTGTAGAATGTTAAGACAGGCTTTCCACCAAAAGTGTCTGATTTTTGGGACCACCTTCATACTCCAAATGGACTGCCACAATTTGGAATGTGGGGAAAAGGAGTTGCTAGCCTCCGACTGATCCAAACCAGGCTTGCAACCCAGTCTGTAACCAGATATGACTGTGTAGACTCCCTTGTTGCTAGGATGCCAAATTCTTCTATCCCTTCCCCCTCTAACTAACAGGAGAATGGTTTGAACAACCTTCATCTCCTCTCTTAAGATCACACTGCTCATAGTGGCAATATCCCATCGTCTAGGGTTCATCATAATGACATCCATCACCTTGTAAATGGAACAGGCCTGGGATATTGGAGAATTGATAGAATGGCTTGGTAGGGGAGGAATCCATTTATCCTCCTAGAAATTGATGTCATAGCCATCTCCAACTTGCAACATAAGCCCTTTCTCCAACAATTCTCTCCCATACAGCAGGCCACTTTAGACCCACGAGGGTCTCGTTCCACGTTTCACCTTCATCAAATCATCGTTGGAAAAATAATTTGCCTTCATAAATTTAGCCCAATAGGAGTCAGGTTGGTGAATCAGTCTCCAACATTGCTTGGCTAAGAGGGCTTGGTTAAAAAGCTTGAAGTCCCTAAAACTCATTCCTCCTTCAGCCTTTGCTTCTACCATTTTGTCCCACCTCCTCCAACAGATTCCTCTCCTATCCTCACTCCCTTTCCACCAAAAGTTCCTTACATAAGAGTTCAACTTGTCACAAAATGTTTGTAGAAATTCTACCACTGACGTGGCATAATTAGGGATAACCTGGATTACTGCTTTAATTAACACTTCCTTGTCTGCCTGGGAGAGACAACAACCTTTCCATCCTTGAAGTTATTTTGCTACTCTCTCAAGTAGGTAGGCGAAAACATCTTTCTTGGATCTTCCCCAGACTGTAGGGATTCCCAAATATTTCGCGCAGTGGGGAAGGGCTTGCATCCTCAAAAGTTGACGATAGAAAATCTTTTGCTCCTCAGTAATGTTGCTGGAAAAGATAATCCCTGATTTCTGATAGTTAGTAGATTGTCCAAACGCCTCACAGTATTTTTGAAGAATTCACATGAGCTCCATAACCCCACCCTCTTTTGCTTTGATAAAGAACAGGGAGTCATCTACAAGGAAAAGATGAGAAATAACTGGGCTTCTTCTCTTAATTTTAACTCCCATAATCTGCCTCCCATCAACACCCCTTTGCAACATTGCCGAAAGAACATCTGCAATAAGGATAAACAAATAAGGGGAGAGAGGGTGACCTTGCCTAATTCCCCTCTGTGGCACAACTTCCCCAATACTCACCCTATTCAAGATAGATTGGAACGAGACAGTGCTCACACATTGCATAATGAGCTGGACCCAGCGACTATCGAACCCTAGTTTGGACATAATTGTTTCCAAAAAATCCCACTCAACTCTATCGTAAGACTTGCTGATATCCATTTTGATAGCTAACTCAAGGATTTTGCCTCTCTTCTTACCCTTGAGATGGTGAAACACTTCATTTGCAATAGCTAAACAGTCCTGTATCTGTCTGTTAGGAACAAAAGTCACCTGATTTGGGGAGACAATGGACCCTATCTTACTTTTCATTCTGTTCACCATTACTTTTGATATCACCTTATACAAAAAGTTACACAAAGCTATTGGGCTTAGCTTCTTTAGGAATAAGGACCACATTTGTAGTGTTCAGCTCTTTGATCATATGCCCCTCTTCAAAGAAGACCCTCACCAGTTGGAAGACATCCTGGACCACAACGTGCCAGAATCTATGGAAAAATAAGCCTATCAAACCATCAGGTCCAGGGGCCTTAAGAGCCCCCAAATCACTCATAGCCTTATACACCTCTGCTTCAGAGTTGTCTCTCAAAAGTTCCTAATTCATTATGCTGTAACCTTACAATGCACCGCACTTAAAGATTCTAACCAATCTCTGGCCCCAATAGCTGTAAATAGGTTTTTAAAGTGGTCTCTGATGTGGGAGTTGAAATACTGTTCTCCTTCTATCCACTCTGCTTCCTTAGCTTTAAGCTTCAGGATTTGATTTCGATTCCGTCTCTGGACAGTGGTTAGGTGGAAGAACTTTGTGTTCTGATCTCCGTCTTTCAACCAGTTGATTCTGGAACGTTGCATCCAGTACTTCTCTTCTCTGCTTCTAATAGCATCGATTTGGGAACACAGGTCTGCTTCCCTGATCAAATTTTCCTCATAAGGTTCTTGCATTTGGACATGTGTTAACTCCTTTTCCAACTCTGAAATGATCCTTTTGTTGTTACCAAACTTTTGCTTGCTCCAAACTAAGAGACTTTCCTTGCATAGATTAAGGTTTGACACAACATTATGGATAACAGAAATATGGAATCTCATGCTCCAATTGTTCTTGACCACCTCTTCACACTCCAGATCTTCCAACCATATACTTTTGAACCTAAAGGAGTGGGGAGCCTTTTTGTTAATGTACCTAGGTTAACCACAATTGGGCAGTGGTCAGAGCCCATTCTAGCCTCGTGGGTCACCTGTTTAGACGAAAAACAAGTAATCCAATCAGAGTTGACAAGAACCCTATCCAGTCGTTCCTGGACATTGGCTAGGCCTGGCCTATTGTTTGACCAAGTGAACTTGGGTCCGCTGACACCCAATTCCATTAGACAATAGTCAGAGATTAGCTGCTGCATCTTCTCCACTCTCCTAACACTGCTAGTAGCACCACCTTCTTTTTCACCCAAGGCTCCAATGACATTAAAATCTCCAGCA